AGTTCTAGTTCAGTTCTAGTTCAGTTCTAGTTCAGTTCTAGTTCAGTTCTAGTTCAGTTCTAGTTCAGTTCTAGTTCAGTTCTAGTTCAGTTCTAGTTCAGTTCTAGTTCAGTCTAGTTCTAGTTCAGTTCTAGTTCAGTTCTAGTTCATTCTAGTTCAGTTCTAGTTCAGTTTAGTTCAGTTCAGTTCTAGTTCAGTTCTAGTTCAGTTCTAGTTCAGTTCTAGTTCAGTCCTAGTTCAGTCCTAGTTCAGTCCTAGTTCAGTTCTAGTTCAGTTCTAGTTCAGTTCTAGTTCAGTTCTAGTTCAGTTCTAGTTCAGTTCAGTTCTAGTTCTAGTTCAGTTCTAGTTCAGTTCTAGTTCAGTTCTAGTTCAGTTCTAGTTCAGTCCTAGTTCAGTTCTAGTTCAGTTCTAGTTCAGTTCTAGTTCAGTTCTAGTTCAGTTCTAGTTCAGTTCTAGTTCAGTTCTAGTTCAGTTCTAGTTCAGTTCAGTTCTAGTTCTAGTTCAGTTCAGTTCTAGTTCAGTTCAGTTCTAGTTCAGTTCTAGTTCAGTTCTAGTTCAGTTCTAGTTCAGTTCTAGTTCAGTTCTAGTTCTAGTTCAGTTCTAGTTCAGTTTAGTTCTAGTTCAGTTCTAGTTCAGTTCTAGTTCAGTTCTAGTTCAGTTCTAGTTCAGTTCTAGTTCAGTTCTAGTTCAGTTCTTGTTCAGTTCTAGTTCAGTTCTAGTTCAGTTCTAGTTCAGTTCTAGTTCAGTTCTAGTTCAGTTCTAGTTCAGTTCTAGTTCAGTTCTATTTCAGTTCTAGTTCAGTTCGTTCAGTTCTAGTTCAGTTCTAGTTCAGTTCTAGTTCAGTTCTAGTTCAGTTCTAGTTCAGTTCTAGTTCAGTTCTAGTTCAGTTCTAGTTCAGTTCTAGTTCAGTTCTAGTTCAGTTCTAGTTCAGTTCTAGTTCAGTTCTAGTTCAGTTCTAGTTCAGTTCTAGTTCAGTTCTAGTTCAGTTCTAGTTCAGTTCTAGTTCAGTTTTTCTAGTTCAGTTCTAGTTCAGTTCTAGTTCAGTTCGTTCAGTTCTAGTTCAGTTCTAGTTCAGTTCTAGTTCAGTTCTAGTTCAGTTCTAGTTCAGTTCTAGTTCAGTTCTAGTTCAGTTCTAGTTCAGTTCTAGTTCAGTTTTAGTTCAGTTCTAGTTTAGTTCTAGTTCTGTTCTAGTTCAGTTCTAGGTTAGTTCTAGTTCAGTTCTAGTTCAGTTCTAGTTCAGTTCTAGTTCAGTTCTAGTTCAGTTCTAGTTCATTTCTAGTTCAGTTCTAGTTCAGTTCTAGTTCAGTTCTAGTTCAGTTCTAGTTCAGTTCTAGTTCAGTTCTAGTTCAGTTTAGTTCAGTTCTAGTTCAGTTCTAGTTCAGTTCTAGTTCAGTTCTAGTTCAGTTCTAGTTCAGTTCTAGTTCAGTTCTAGTTCAGTTCTAGTTCAGTTCTAGTTCAGTTCTAGTTCAGTTCTAGTTCAGTTCTAGTTCAGTTCTAGTTCAGTTCTAGTTCAGTTCTAGTTCAGTTCTAGTTCAGTTCTAGTTCAGTTCTAGTTCAGTTCTAGTTCAGTTCTAGTTCAGTTCTAGTTCAGTTCTAGTTCAGTTCTATCAGTTCAGTTCTAGTTCAGTTCTAGTTCAGTTCTAGTTCAGTTCTAGTTCAGTTCTAGTTCAGTTCTAGTTCAGTTCTAGTTCAGTTCTAGTTCAGTTCTAGTTCAGTTCTAGTTCTGTTCTAGTTCTGTTCTAGTTCAGTTCTAGTTCAGTTCTAGTTCAGTTCTAGTTCAGTTCTAGTTCAGTTCTAGTTCAGTTCTAGTTCAGTTCTAGTTCAGTTCTAGTTCAGTTCTAGTTCAGTTCTAGTTCAGTTCTAGTTCAGTTTAGTTCAGTTCTAGTTCAGTTCAGTTCTAGTTCAGTTCAGTTCTAGTTCAGTTCAGTTCTAGTTCAGTTTAGTTTGTTTCTAGTTCAGTTCTAGTTCAGTTCTAGTTCAGTTCTAGTTCAGTTCTAGTTCAGTTCTAGTTCAGTTCTAGTTCAGTTCTAGTTCAGTTCTAGTTCAGTTCTAGTTCAGTTCTAGTTCAGTTAGTTCTAGTTCAGTTCTAGTTCAGTTCTAGTTCTAGTTCAGTTCTAGTTCAGTTCTAGTTCAGTTCTAGTTCAGTTCTAGTTCAGTTCTGGTTCAGTTCTAGTTCAGTTCTTGTTCAGTTCTAGTTCAGTTCTAGTTCAGTTCTAGTTCAGTTCGTTCAGTTCTAGTTCAGTTCTAGTTCAGTTCTATTTCAGTTCTAGTTCAGTTCTAGTTCAGTTCTAGTTCAGTTCTAGTTCAGTTCTAGTTCAGTTCTAGTTCAGTTCTAGTTCAGTTCTAGTTCAGTTCTAGTTCAGTTCTAGTTCAGTTCTAGTTCAGTTCTAGTTCAGTTCTAGTTCAGTTCTAGTTCAGTTCTAGTTCAGTTCTAGTTCAGTTCTAGTTCAGTTCTAGTTCAGTTCTAGTTCAGTTCTAGTTCAGTTCTAGTTCAGTTCTAGTTCAGTTCTAGTTCCGTTCTATTTCAGTTCAATTTCTATTTCCTACCTAGATAATATGCTATTGTATTTTAATTTAAATAATTTAATAGCAAAATTGTGTAAATTTTATAATTAAGAATTTAATTACTTCCTTTAACAAAGTAATGTATATCTTAATTTATTCAAAACATAAATTTCAGTTGACAATTTTTAGCATCAACCCTCAAATACAATCAAAATACTTCTAATCCAAAATAACTCCAGAAACAAACCTTGCAACTAAAATGAAATTCGTGTTGACATCTAAAACTTTATGATCATCCAACATCCCTTTTTTCTTGGCAACTCAAATAAAGATCATTTAACCATAAATCACTCAACATTTCTTTATGATTTAATACCACATTAAAAAGATTATTCCAAATGTTTAAGAAGTATAAAAAAATATAAAAATACTTATTTATAACAACTAGATAAGTCCAAATATTAGAAAAATATGAACATAATTTCTAAGAATGTTTTCAAAGTTAAAATTCCCATTAGAAAAACACCTCTGTACAAAACATTTCCTAAGAGCGGGCGTATTTATTAATATTTTTTATATTTTGCCGGTGCCACATTGCTGTGTGGCCCACTATTACAAAATCTTGGCCATATGCAATCCATCATAAACATACATGTAGTTTGTTGTGTTTCCACAGAAGCAGGATAGGAACGTCAGAATTTTGTTGTCTTTATTTCGATTGTCGAGTCTTGAGTATAATTAAACAAAAAATAGAAATTGAAAATTATTTTTTAGGCTTTTTCTGTGTGCTCTGTTCTGCTATTAAGAATTCTACCGTATGACTCTGTGATGAAATGCAGGTCAAATCAATTGGAAATTATTCTTTTCTATTACTTATTGGAGGAGATGTAAGAGAGGAAATTTTTTAAAATTTATATGTAAAAGATTTTGTGATAAAAACTCACACACAACATGCAAGACAAATTATAAATGTAATAATGAAATCATTTGTCTTACTTAAAATTATTAAATTAGGAAAATTCTTAAAGCAAATTGTTCAAAAATTATTTAAAATTTTCTGGGAAAAACATATGCATGGAAGTCTGACTACTTGAAAAATCAAATTACTTAATGAAAATGCTATTACGGAAAAAGGTCAAAACTCATCTGGAGGAAACTAATTATATTCTGAACTGTAGGCTATATATAGAACTGAACTAGAACTGAACTAGAACTGAACTAGAACTGAACTAGAACAGAACTAGAAACTGAACTAGAACTGAACTAGAACTGAACTAGAACTGAACTAGAACTGAACTAGAACTGAACTAGAACTGAACTAGAACTGAACTAGAACTGAACTAGAACTGAACTAGAACTGAACTAGAACTGAACTAGAACTGAACTAGAACTGAACTAGAAACTGCACTAGAACTGAACTAGAACTGAACTAGAACTGAACTAGAACTGAACTTGAACTGAACTAGAACTGAACTAGAACTGAACTAGAACTGAACTAGAACTGAACTAGAACTGAACTAGAACTGAACTAGAACTGAACTAGAACTGAACTAGAACTGAACTAGAACTGAACTAGAACTGAACTAGAACTGAACTAGAACTGAACTAGAACTGAACTAGAATGAACTAGAACTGAACTAGAACTGAACTAGAACTGAACTAAACTGAACTAGAACTGAACTAGAACTGAACTAGAACTGAACTAGAACTGAACTAGAACTGAACTAGAACTGAACTAGAACTGAACTAGAACTGAACTAGAACTGAACTAGAACTGAACTAGAACTGAACTAGAACTGAACTAGAACTGAACTAGAACTGAACTAGAACTGAACTAGAACTGAACTAGAACTGAACTAAACTGAACTAGAACTGAACTAGAACTGAACTAGAACTGAACTAGAACTGAACTAGAACTGAACTAGAACTGAACTAGAAACTGAACTAGAACTGAACTAGAACTGAACTAGAACTGAACTAGAACTGAACAGAACTGAACTAGAACTGAACTAGAACTGAACTAGAACTAGAACTGAACTAGAACTGAACTAGAAAACTGAACTAGAACTGAACTAGAACTGACTAACTGAACTAGAACCTGAACTAGAACTGAACTAGAACTGAACTAGAAACTGAACTAGAACTGAACTAGAACTGAACTAGAACTGAACTAGAACTGAACTAGAACTGAACTAGAACTGAACTAGAACAGATTGAAACATGATTGAGACTATTCTCTAGATTCGAATAGAGGATAGTAGAAGAGAATTAATTGTATTTATTTAGAAGATTAACTTATAAATAATGTCAAATTTATTAACCCCTTAAGAAAGTTTTCAAATTTATGTTTTTGTTTATTAATGTCAACAAATACGTTGTACTATAGTCAACACAAATACTTCAAAATCTATTATAAAAATAATAAAAATCACAACTAATTTTTATTAGTTTCAACACCAAAACATGCTAAATATTTCCCTTTTACTTTACAGATAACAACATTGTTGCGCCCACGTTGGCAACATATAAAACAACAACACAACAGAAACAACAACAGCCACCATTAATAGCAACAACAACAACAACAGCGGGCGCCAATCAACAAACCCCCAACTCAGATACAAATCAAATAGAAGAACATCTGTTGGTGGTGAATAGTGCTGCTGCTGAAACATCTTCTCTAAATAATATAGAATTTATACCAACATTAGAATTTGTTGATACAACAACAACTTGTGTTAAATACGATCATTTGCAACAATGTTTAGAAACATGTTTACAAGTTGTTGAGGAAATACCAAAACAGCAACAGCATGTTTCGACAAACACAACTACAGCAACAAATTCTGCTCAAACATTTACAGTTGAAAGAACTTTTAGTGATCGAGAGCAACAACAAGCAGAGCTATCACTATCTTCTTTAATAGATACCAGTGATTTGTTACAGCAGGAGGTCCCACAATTTAGTCTTACAGACACTGCTTCATTTACAACGTACTTTGATGAACCAACATCCTCCATATCACTCGGCATAATGGAGACGACTACACAATCAAATAAATCATTAAGCGAACAGAGATCTACCACAGATCATATGCCGGCCTCCACAACGCCAACAACTACAACGAAAAATACAACATCTGCAGCCACAACAGCAACAACTACCGGTCAAAGTAATGTGCCACAAAGTTTAGCAAATCCTAGTTTAAGTGAAACCGCCGATGAGGAAGAAGAGATCGAGGAAGAAATCGAAGAGGCCTTAGAGATGAGTGAGGAACAAGATTATAGTAATTCCCTGCCGGGTACCAGTAAGAAACAACCTCAAATGCAACAATTATTTGGCATAGAATTGTCGGAAAGTTCCAGTGAGGAATTGAGAGTTCTAAAGGAACAAATGAGTAAAAGTAAAAGTTTAAAAAGTGAAACAGAAAGCGATCAGTTTAAAATCGATGATGATCAATTGTCGGGCGGTAAATTGGCTCAACATTTTGTAATAGCTGAAGAGGATAGCGATTTTTCAGGTGATATAGAATTGCCCTCGGGAAAGAGATTAGTGCATTCAAAACATGAGTCCTCTGAGTTTGAACATGAAGTTAATGTTTTATCGGGAGGCCAGGAAGAAGAAGAGCAAAGTTTAGCTAATCAATCTACTGCAGATGATGTGTCTGAATTGCAGGAAGAGGCTAAGCTGGACAGTGAAGTATTAACACAAACAATGACGGAACATAGAACAACGGAAACCTCAGATCAGGATTTGCCAACAAGTGGACCTAAAGAAATGTTAAAGAGTTCGGTAACACAGGAAAGTTATAACACAAATGAAAGTTCAAAAGCAGGAGCTTTAGTTCAAGCAGATAATTCCAAAGAATTGTCTAAATCCAAAGAACTGTCCAATTCCAAAGAATTAAACAATTCCAAGGATACTTCTCTAACACCAGCCGAAGCTAAAACAGAAAATGCCAAAAGTGTAGACGAGGAAAAACCTCCAATGTTGAAAACTTTACGACCAGAATTTTTTGAAAATCCCAATATTAAACCTTTATCGGGAGCTTCATCCCTGCACAGTGAAAAAGATCATTCCATTGAAGAAATAATGGCTTCTAATCAATCACTAGAAATGACATTCGATGAAAGAGATTTAAGTTCCCTTAATCCCAGTTTTGATATCAACAACGAAACCTTGGTTAATGAACTATTGGCCGATACACCAGATCGAATGTTAATGAAAACAAAATCAAAATCCACTTCTAAGAAAGAAGTAAAGAACTTATTAAGGGAAACAGATAAAGAGGAATCTAAAGAAAGTTTGGATGAATCTTTCTTAAGCTCTACCAAGGTTCAGGAAAGTCAACAGTATCCGGAAAGACAACAGAAGAAAACCCAAAAGAAAAGGCCATTGTTTTGGACACATTGCCAAAATTAAAGGAAAATATCACTGTCTCCATAATACCCAATGAGCAGGTGGTGGAGGAGTTATTTGAAAAGACTTTGCAGTCAGAAATGATCACCGATTTAGATGATAGTTTGCCGGAATTGGAGGAAAAGCCTACTACTTCCAAACAAGCTGAAAAGGATCTTAAGAACCAAATCGCCAAATCTCTGCCCTTAAAAGAACATCAAGCCAAAATTGAGCAGCTGCAAGAGCCTTGGTCTACTTTACAAATCAATACTAAAGAGGAGGATGATGAGGAGACATCTTTACAGTTAATGAAACTAAGAATAATGGCCATGAAAATACAACCCAAGGAAAACAACATGCAATTGTCTCCAACAGGAGAACCTTCAGGTCCTATAGATAACAGTCAAATTAAGGCAATGGAACGGATATCCTTGGTAGACTTCGCCAAAGATGTTTTAGAGGATATTACAGAGGAAAGTGAACGTAACTCTTTGTCTACCCAGGATGAACAAAATTCTTTAACCCATGAAAAGTCGGGCACTTTAACCTCAAAAAGTGAAAGCAAAACTTGAACAACAAAAATGATAATACCAATTCCACGGTCAGTTTAAATATGATACAAATGCTGGAGCAAAAGGTGGGAGAACTGCAGCAAATGTTGGCCAACAAGGATGCCTGTCTGGCTTCTTTGAATCTACAGCTGGAGCATAGTAATAGGAGAGACTCACAAACTAATAACAATTCATCTGAATTATTGGGTTCTGGCAGAGATTCCAGTTCTCTGGTAACCAATTCCACAGAGTATCGAACATTTCAGGAAGATTTTGGACAACCGGTAGGTTTTTGGAAAGAAATGTCTTGAATTTTATAAACTATTTCCTTTTTTTTCTAACAGACCATGGACATTTATATGGAGTTAAGCAAACGTGATGAGTTAATAGCTAAACTCAACGATTCCCTGCAGCAGTCACTCTCTATACGAGAACATTTACAAACTGAATCGGAGAAACTTAATCATGAATCAGTTTACTGCGTAAACAACTGTCGGAAGCCATGGAATCTTGCAAAAAATCCTATTGGCCGAGAGATCAAGAAAGTAATTATGGACAAAGAATCTCGGAAATTTCCATGGATTTGGTAAGTGAATCAGATGATGATTAGATCGTCTTTATCTCACCGACAATGATGAGAAAATGTCACGCAACTCGCGAGAAAGACAACTATCTATGCCCCGGCAATATGATTATCCCACTAGTGATGTGGAAATGCCTTGTGATTCTACCGCTTTTAGTAAACAGATAGAACAATTCCAAAAGTATTTAACACCCAGTGAAGTGCGTCTCTTTTTTATGGTCCAAAAAAAATTCGATGATTATTTGTGTCAAGAATTGGAAAAATGTAAAATGAAATATGATCAGGAATTAAAATCATAATGGATCAATGGGATACTGAAAAACATGAAAAGGATCATGAGATTCAAAAGTTAATTCAACAAAAACAAGAAAGAGAAGCTAAACACAATCAGGAAATGGAGGATTTAAGGAAATATTTTGAAACCAAATGTGCCGATCTGGAAAAACAGTAAGTTTTGGAATATTACTAAACCTTTTCCTTAAATTTAACTAAAATTAACTCCCTAACAGATATTCCGATGATGTTTTCTCTCAAAAATCTCAACGTCATGGCATGAGTTCTTCCTCCGCCTCAGAATGTTCAGATCAGGAGCAATTGCCGGATGATTTTAAAATAGTTATACCCTGCAAATCTAAAGAATCTTCACCACGCAAACGTTCAAAAGCTGAATTATTGCTAAGTCCTTCTCATCGTCAAATGACTCCAGGTAGTGATAATTATAATGATGATTTAGCAACGAATCAGGGAACTCAAGTAAGTTTTCTACATCTTTAAACAACTTACATTCTAATTTCTAATCTCTTTTATAACTCGTCACAGTTGGCCTTGGAAATAACCGAATTAAAGACATTTTATCAAAATAAAATTCATGAAATTCAACGTTCCCAAGAGGAGAATATTAAGAAATTAAGTGATCGCCTCAAGTATTATGAATCTCGTTATCCCGAAGATGAGTTTATGGTGAGTTTTAGTTGCCATAAAATTACATTTTTTTTATTGTTAAATAGCATGCTTTTGTATTAAGGCTGATGCTTTTTTATCAACAATTATAACTAATTTCATTTATTTTTCTATATTAAAAATCACCAACAAAACAAATCATGCTTTTTTTCTAAATGGGTGAAGGCAGAAATCTATTATTTCATATTTATTTCACACATTATCCATTTATTTGCATTAAAAGCATTTGGCTGTTGTAAGTTATCGAAATTGTTTTAATAACGAAAAACAATAAAAGTGGTTTTTAAGAAAATTTATGATATCATTGAAGGATTTCGTCATCGTAACCGCCAGGAATTAAGATTCCTACGATGTTTAGTTCTAGTCCAGTTCTAGTTCATTTCTAGTTTCAGTGCTAGTTCATTTCTAGTTCAGTGCTAGTTCTGTTCTATTTCAGTAGTTTCTAGTTCAGTTCTAGTTCAGTTCTAGTTCAGTTCTAGTTCTGTTCTAGTTCGTGTTCTAGTTCTGTTCTAGTTCTGTTCTAGTTCTGTTTATTCTGTTCTAGTTCTGTTCTAGTTCTGTTCTAGTTCTGTTCTAGTTCTGTTCTAGTTCTGTTCTGTTCTAGTTCTGTTCTAGTTCTGTTCTGTTCTGTTCTAGTTCTGTTCTAGTTCTGTTCTAGTTCTGTTCTAGTTCTGTTCTAGTTCTGTTCTAGTTCTGTTCTAGTTCTGTTCTAGTTCTGTTCTAGTTCTGTTCTAGTTCTGTTCTAGTTCTGTTCTGTTCTGTTCTGTTCTAGTTCTGTTCTAGTTCTGTTCTAGTTCTGTTCTAGTTCTGTTCTAGTTCTGTTCTAGTTTGTTCTGTTCTAGTTCTGTTCTAGTTCTGTTCAGTTCTGTTCTAGTTCTGTTCTAGTTCTGTTCTAGTTCTGTTCTAGTTCTGTTCTAGTTCTGTTCTAGTTCGTTCTGTTCTAGTTCTGTTCTAGTTCTGTTCTAGTTCTGTTCTAGTTCTGTTCTAGTTCTGTTCTAGTTCTGTTCTAGTTCTGTTCTAGTTCTGTTCTAGTTCTGTTCTAGTTCTGTTCTAGTTCTGTTCTAGTTCTGTTCTAGTTCTGTTCTAGTTCTGTTCTAGTTCTGTTCTAGTTCTGTTCTATTCTGTTCTAGTTCTGTTCTAGTTCTGTTCTAGTTCTGTTCTAGTTCTGTTCTAGTTCTGTTCTAGTTCTGTTCTAGTTCTGTTCTAGTTCTGTAGTTCTGTTCTAGTTCTGTTCTAGTTCTGTTCTAGTTCTGTTCTAGTTCTGTTCTAGTTCTGTTCTAGTTCTGTTCTAGTTCTGTTCTAGTTCTGTTCTAGTTCTGTTCTAGTTCTGTTCTAGTTCTGTTCTAGTTCTGTTCTAGTTCTGTTCTAGTTCTGTTCTAGTTCTGTTCAGTTCTGTTCAGTTCTGTTCTAGTTCTGTTCTAGTTCTGTTCTAGTTCTGTTCTAGTTCTGTTCTAGTTCTGTTCTAGTTCTGTTCTAGTTCTGTTCTAGTTCTGTTTTTCTGTTCTGTTCTGTTCTAGTTCTGTTCTAGTTCTGTTCTAGTTCTGTTCTAGTTCTGTTCTAGTTCTGTTCTAGTTCTGTTCTAGTTCTGTTCTAGTTCTGTTCTAGTTCTGTTCTAGTTCTGTTCTAGTTCTATTCTAGTTCTATTCTAGTTCTGTTCTAGTTCTATTCTAGTTCTGTTCTAGTTCTGTTCTAGTTTGTTCTAGTTCTGTTCTAGTTCTAGTTCTAGTTCTAGTTCTGTTCTAGTTCTGTTCTAGTTCTGTTCTAGTTCTAGTTCTGTTCTAGTTCTAGTTCTAGTTCTTCTAGTTCTGTTCTAGTTCTAGTTCTGTTCTAGTTCTGTTCTAGTTCTGTTCTAGTTCTGTTCTAGTTCTGTTCTAGTTCTGTTCTAGTTCTGTTCTAGTTCTGTTCTAGTTCTGTTCTAGTTCTGTTCTAGTTCTGTTCTAGTTCTGTTCTAGTTCTGTTCTAGTTCTGTTCAGTTCTGTTCTAGTTTGTTCTAGTTCTGTTCTAGTTCTGTTCTAGTTCTGTTCTAGTTCTGTTCTAGTTCTGTTCTAGTTCTGTTCTAGTTCTGTTCTAGTTCTGTTCTAGTTCTGTTCTAGTTCTGTTCTAGTTCTGTTCTAGTTCTGTTCTAGTTCTGTTCTAGTTCTGTTCTAGTTCTGTTCTAGTTCTGTTCTAGTTCTGTTCTAGTTCTGTTCTAGTTCTGTTCTAGTTCTGTTCTAGTTCTGTTCTAGTTCTGTTCTAGTTCTGTTCTAGTTCTGTTCTAGTTCTGTTCTAGTTCTGTTCTAGTTCTGTTCTAGTTCTGTTCAGTTCTGTTCTAGTTCTGTTCTAGTTCTGTTCTAGTTCTGTTCTAGTTCTGTTCTAGTTCTGTTCTAGTTCTGTTCTAGTTCTGTTCTAGTTCTGTTCTAGTTCTGTTCTAGTTCTGTTCTAGTCTGTTCTAGTTCTGTTCTAGTTCTGTTCTAGTTCTGTTCTAGTTCTGTTCTAGTTCTGTTCTAGTTCTGTTCTAGTTCTGTTCTAGTTTCTGTTCTAGTTCTGTTCTAGTTCTGTTCTAGTTCTGTTCTAGTTTGTTCTAGTTCTGTTCTAGTTCTGTTCTAGTTCTGTTCTAGTTCTGTTCTAGTTCTGTTCTAGTTCTATTCTAGTTCTATTCTAGTTCTGTTCTAGTTCTGTTCTAGTTCTATTCTAGTTCTATGTAGTTCTGTTCTAGTTCTGTTCTAGTTCTGTTCTAGTTCTGTTCTAGTTCTGTTCTAGTTCTGTTCTAGTTCTGTTCTAGTTCTGTTCTAGTTCTGTTCTAGTTCTGTTCTAGTTCTGTTCTAGTTCTGTTCTAGTTCTGTTTAGTTCTGTTCTAGTTCTGTTCTAGTTCTATTTCTGTTAGTTCTGTTCTAGTTCGTTCTGTTCTAGTTCTTTCTAGTTCTGTTCTGTTTTAGTTCAGTTCTTTTCTAGTTCTGTTCTAGTTCTGTTCTAGTTCTGTTCTAGTTCTGTTCTAGTTCTGTTCTAGTTCTGTTCTAGTTCTGTTCTGTTCTAGTTCTGTTCTAGTTCTGTTCTAGTTCTGTTCTAGTTCTGTTCTAGTTCTGTTCTAGTTCTGTTCTAGTTCTGTTCTAGTTCTGTTCTAGTTCTGTTCTAGTTCTGTTCTAGTTCTGTTCTAGTTCTGTTCTAGTTCTGTTCTAGTTCTGTTCTAGTTCTGTTCTAGTTCTGTTCTAGTTCTGTTCTAGTTCTGTTCTCTGTTCTAGTTCTGTTCTAGTTCTGTTCTAGTTCTGTTCTAGTTCTGTTCTAGTTCTGTTCTAGTTCTGTTCTAGTTCTGTTCTAGTTCTGTTCTAGTTCTGTTCTAGTTCTGTTCTAGTTCTGTTCTAGTTCTGTTCTAGTTCTGTTCTAGTTCTGTTCTAGTTCTGTTCTAGTTCTGTTCTAGTTCTGTTCTAGTTCTGTTCTAGTTCTGTTCTAGTTCTGTTCTAGTTCTGTTCTAGTTCTGTTCTAGTTCTGTTCTGTTCTGTTCTAGTTCTGTTCTAGTTCTGTTCTAGTTCTGTTCTAGTTCTGTTCTAGTTTGTTCTGGTTCTGTTCTAGTTCTGTTCTAGTTCTGTTTTAGTTTTGTTCTATTTTTGTTCTGGTAATTTCTCTCTCCGGTATATCTTAGAATAATTCTCAATTCTATTATTAGAATTATATTATATGACTAATTGAGAAGAAATTGTTTATTCAAAACATTTTTCTGTTGCTAAGCTGTCAACCAGCTTAATATTTCCGAATATTATCAAGCTTAAACATATGCAGATAGAGTGCAAAACAAAATTTATCACCAAAAATGCGCAATTCACTGCCTTACGAAAAACCATTGAAACAACAAATAATTCAATGATAAAGAGTAACGCAATACATTGCAAACTTTGCGATGCTGGACTTTAGAAAGTGAGGCTGACGGTAATTTTTAGCTTAAAATCAATTGTTGTGTTCTGACTATGGACTAGACTGTAGTACTGTCTGAAGACTAGGTTATAGTTCTGACTATAGACTAGTGCTATAGTGCTGAATATAGACTCGACTATAGACTCGACTATAGTCTTGACTCAGACCAGACAATTATCAAAGACCAGACTATAGACTAAATTTCAGTAAAAATTAACACATTTTCCCCAAAAAGTAATATTTCAACCCACCCCATATTTATAAAAATCATGATTTGTTGTTGTGTTTTTAATAAATGATAAAAAAGCTCAAACACTACTTTTTTAAATGTTGTATTCTAACTCGCATGTATTGCATTTTGTATTTTCTTTTTATATAAAAAACCCAAATCTAAAAAACAATTTTATATGGATACACAATACTGTGCTAACCCCCACCAAAAAAAAACCAAATTAAAAAAACATAATTAAACCAAAACCAAAACAGTCATCAAATACTAAAAATTCCACCCTGAATTCGACCCACGAGACCACAGCGACAACCAATACGGAAGATTTAACACAAATCACCGTACGTAGTCTAAATCAAACTCCCCAACAACAAAGCCTGCCAAATGAAGGGGCCTCAGGAACACCGTTCCTTAGCAATAATAACAATAATAACAATTCATTGATCATAATCGATCAAGATGAATTGAATGGTAGTAATGAGGCCCAAGTGATACAAAGATCATTGATGAATATGAAAGACGTTTGCAAGAACAATTGGCATTGGCTAGAGAAGATATTGTACATGAGCTGGAACAGCAGATACAGGTAAGTTCGTTAAGCTTCATGATCACTTCATTTGAAATTTATTTTTTCGTTTATTTTTTATGTTTTCACTTTCATTTGTTGTTTGTAATTAAGTTTATTTTCTGTTTCATTAAATGCATGATGATTCATTAATTTGTTTTATATTTGTTTTTATTTTTTTATCATTTTCTATTCATTTTTTTAAAAAACATTTTCAAATCTGCTTTAACATCATTTTCCTAAGTACCATTTCTATTTTTTTGCACAAACTTTGTGCGTGAGTTTTCATTTTTTTCGTGTATTTTTTGATAATTTGAAAATTTGCCAACGGTGACGTGTTGTGTGCTTTTTTTAAACTTACCCGTGTGGTCAGTGTTGACAGGATTTTTAAGTTTTATTTTAATTTTAAAATAAAAAACGTGATATATTTGACTAAATGAAATTTTATTTTAATTTTGACATGAATTAAACTAAATTACAAACTCTTCTACGGAAAAGTTTGGTCAGTATTTGATCAACAACTTTTCTATAGGAAAAGTTTGATGAGAATCTAATCAACAACTTTTCTATAGGAAAAGTTTGATCAACAACAGAAAATGGGTGATCGGAATCTAGTTCAATTTTTGTTCAGTTCTAGTTCAATTCTAGTTCAGTTCTAGTTCAGTTCTAGTTCAGTTCTAGTTCAGTTCTAGTTCAGTTCTGGTTCAGTTCTAGTTTAGTTCTAGTTCAGTTCTAGTTCAGTTTTAGTTTAGTTCTAGTTCAGTTCTAGTTCAGTTCTAGTTCAGTTCTAGTTCAGTTCTAGTTCAGTTCTAGTTCAGTTCTAGTTCAGTTCTAGTTCAGTTCTAGTTCAGTTCTAGTTCAGTTCTAGTTCAGTTCTAGTTCAGTTCTAGTTCAGTTCTAGTTCAGTTCTAGTTCAGTTCTAGTTCAGTTCTAGTTCAGTTCTAGTTCAGTTCTAGTTCAGTTCTAGTTAGTTCTAGTTCAGTTTGGTCAGTTCTAGTTCAGTTCTAGTTCAGTTCTAGTTCAGTTCTAGTTCAGTTCTAGTTCAGTTCTAGTTCAGTTCTAGTTCAGTTCTAGTTCAGTTCTAGTTCAGTTCTAGTTCAGTTCTAGTTCAGTTCTAGTTCAGTTCTAGTTAGTTTAGTTTAGTTCAGTTCTAGTTCAGTTCTAGTTCAGTTCTAGTTCAGTTCTAGTTCAGTTCTAGTTCAGTTCTAGTTCAGTTCTAGTTCAGTTCTAGTTCAGTTCTAGTTCAGTTCTAGTTCAGTTCTAGTTCAGTTCTAGTTCAGTTCTAGTTCAGTTCTAGTTCAGTTCGTTTAGTTCTAGTTCAGTTCTAGTTCAGTTCTAGTTCAGTTCTAGTTCAGTTAGTTCAGTTCTAGTTCAGTTCTAGTTCAGTTCTAGTTCAGTTCTAGTTCAGTTCTAGTTCAGTTCTAGTTCAGTTCTAGTTCAGTTCTAGTTCAGTTCTAGTTCTAGTTCAGTTCTAGTTCAGTTCTAGTTCAGTTCTAGTTCAGTTCTAGTTCAGTTCTAGTTCAGTTCTAGTTCAGTTCTAGTTCAGTTCTAGTTCAGTTCTAGTTCAGTTCTAGTTCAGTTCTAGTTCAGTTCTAGTTCAGTTCTAGTTCAGTTCTAGTTCAGTTCTAGTTCAGTTCTAGTTCAGTTCTAGTTCAGTTCTAGTTCAGTTCTAGTTCAGTTCTAGTTCATTCTAGTTCAGTTCTAGTTCAGTTCTAGTTCAGTTCTAGTTCAGTTCTAGTTCAGTTCTAGTTCAGTTCTAGTTCAGTTCTAGTTCAGTTCTAGTTCAGTTCTAGTTCAGTTCTAGTTCAGTTCTAGTTCAGTTCTAGTTCAGTTCTAGTTCAGTTCTAGTTCAGTTCTAGTTCAGTTCTAGTTCAGTTCTAGTTCATTTCTAGTTCAGTTCTAGTTCAGTTCTAGTTCAGTTCTAGTTCAGTTCTAGTTCAGTTCTAGTTCATTTCTAGTTCATTTCTAGTTCATTTCTAGTTCAGTTGTAGTTCAGTTCTAGTTCAGTTCTAGTTCAGTTCTAGTTCAGTTCTAGTTCAGTTCTAGTTCAGTTCTAGTTCAGTTCTAGTTCAGTTCTAGTTCAGTTCTAGTTCAGTTCTAGTTCAGTTCTATTTCAGTCCTAGTTCAGTTCTAGTACAGTTCTAGTTCAGTTCTAGTTCAGTTCTAGTTCAGTTCTAGTTCAGTTCTAGTTCAGTTCTAGTTCAGTTCTAGTTCAGTTCTAGTTCAGTTCTAGTTCAGTTCTAGTTCAGTTCTAGTTCAGTTCTAGTTCAGTTCTAGTTAGTTCTGGTTCAGTTCTAGTTCAGTTCTAGTTCAGTTCTAGATCAGTTCTAGTTCAGTTCTAGTTCAGTTCTAGATCAGTTCTAGTTCTGCTCAAGTTTTGTGTTGAGGCATTTTCAGTTTGAATAACATTTTCTAAGTTCTACCTGCCATTTATGACTTGTTTTTCATTAATAGTTTAAACATTTTACGCAAACATGTTTTGACGTGTTGTTATGACATTTTTACCTGTCACTAATTGTGACACAAAACAAACGGATTATTATTAATTTATTACATTGCTTTTAAATGGTTTGGCAAATAAATTGTTTTTGTTTTTTTTACAAATCCTTTAAGTATTAAAAACAACAAGATTTAGTTGTCAATTTGGTAGTTATTTGTTTTCCTCTATTCTACTCTGTCATAACAACTGAAAAAACATGTCAGTACAACTGAAATTTTCCTCAAATCAAGACATGATCCAATTGAACACATCATCTTGCAACACCCTTAATTTGTATACAACATCATTATCATCATACACAGATTTTGCTCAGAAATGTTTGTAAATATTCTATGTCTGTGTCGACGACGATCATTGTTTTTGCAAACTATTATTTTGGATTCTTAATTGGTTTTTCTTTCGAACAAATATCGAAGTAATCTTCTTCTTATTCGTTCTCAATTTTGTTTGTGTTTATTTTTTATCAAAAAGTGTTTTTTGAAAATAAACATTCGAAACAATAACAAGATGTCAATGAACACGTTTCCTCTGTCAAAGAGACCAAAATGAAGAAAACATCATGAAAATACACACACACACACACACACACTTTTCACACTTTCATTTCTTTCGATATATGAAAAATAAATCGAAAAATTAAAGCGCCTCTAGCCACTATGAACTCAATTCTTTTTTCTTTCTGATTTTTTAAAGACAACAGTGTCAATACGTTAGACAGGAATCTATTGTATTCTTCTTTTCTTTCAGACACGTGCTAAAAGATTTTCTTGGTTTCTTCTTAAATTCTGTATTTTCTACAAAACCAAACAAAAATAATCTAATTTGAATTTCTTTCCATTGTAAAAATGAGACATTTCTTTTTTGGAATTAAAAATAAATCTACTATAAGAATTTTGGGATTTTATTTTTTTTTAATTTCATTAGACGAGAGGAGATTCTTCGGTGGTGTGAAGGTTGTTGTATTGTATTTAGTGTAAATTTTAAGTTCATTATCATTTTTAAAAAGGTGACAGTTTATATAGAAAATAGATTTCAAATGTATTTGTTTTTATTTTGTCTATATATTCCTATAAGAGATAGTCACTTTTGGAACTGAAAAATGTTCAAGATTTCTTTTGAAAGAAATTAATGAATAATATAAGTTTAAGTTATTGAAGGTCAAATTAAGGAATTTGTAGAAGAATTTGTCATTTTTAATTTTCTATAAGAAAAGTTTGGTTAGAATCTGGTTAAGAATTTTTCTAAAGGAAAAGTTTGATGTGAATGTATTAAACCACTTTTCTTTAGGTCGCTTCAGTTCTAGTTCTGTTCTAGATCTGTTCTAGTTCTGTTGTAGTTATATTTTAGTCTGTTCTAGTCTGTATCCAGTCTGTTCGAGTTCTGTTCAGTTCTGTTCTAGTTCTTTTAGTTCTGTTCTAGTTCTGTTCTAGTTCTGTTCTAGTTCTGTTCTAGTTCTGTTCTAGTTCTGTTCTAGTTCTGTTCTAGTTCTGTTCTAGTTTCTGTTCTAGTTCTGTTCTAGTTCTGTTCTAGTTCTGTTTCTAGTTCTGTTTCTAGTTCTGTTCTAGTTCTGTTCTAGTTCTGTTCTAGTTCTGTTCTAGTTCTGTTCTTAGTTCTGTTCTAGTTCTGTTCTAGTTCTGTTCTAGTTTCTGTTCTAGTTCTGTTCTAGTTCTAGTTCTAGTTCTGTTCTAGTTCTGTTCTAGTTCTGTTCTAGTTCTGTTCTAGTTTCTGTTCTAGTTCTGTTCTAGTTTCTGTCTGTTCTAGTTCTGTTCTAGTTCTGTTCTAGTTCTGTTCTAGTTCTGTTCTAGTTCTGTTCTAGTTCTGTTCTAGTTCTGTTCTAGTTCTGTCTAGTTCTGTTCTAGTTCTGTTCTAGTTTCTAGTCTGTTCTAGTTCTGTTCTAGTTCTGTTCTAGTTCTATTCTAGTTCTGTTCTAGTTCTGTTCTATTCTATCTTGTTCTGTTCTAGTTCTGTTCTAGTTCTGTTCTAGTTCTGTTCTAGTTCTGTTCTAGTTCTGTTCTAGTTCTGTTCTAGTTCTGTTCTAGTTCTATTCTAGTTCTGTTCTAGTTCTGTTCTAGTTCTGTTCTAGTTCTGTTCTAGTTCTGTTCTAGTTCTGTTCTGTTCTAGTTCTGTTCTAGTTCTGTTCTAGTTCCGTTCTAGTTCTGTTCTGTTCTAGTTCTGTTCTAGTTCTGTTCTAGTTCTGTTCTAGTTCTGTTCTAGTTCGGTTCTAGTTCTGTTCTAGTTCTGTTCTAGTTCTGTTCTAGTTCTGTTCTGTTCTAGTTCTGTTCTAGTTCTGTTCTAGTTCTGTTCTAGTTCTGTTCTAGTTCTGTTCTAGTTCTGTTCTAGTTCTGTTCTAGTTCTGTTCTAATTCTGTTCTAGTTCTGTTCTAGTTTCTGTTCTAGTTCTATTTTAGTTGTATTTTAGTTCTATTTTAGTTCTGTTTTAGTTCTGTTCTAGTTCTGTTCTAGTTCTGTTCTGTTCTAGTTCTGTTCTAGTTCTGTTCTGTTCTGTTCTAGTTTCTGTTCTA